GGTGGGGAGCCCTGGCTGAGACATCAGTGCAGTGTTAATGCTGCTGTTGGTCTCCCAGGAAGCGTACAGCAGATGCTGAGGGATACTTGGTCACAGTTAAAGATATTAAGCTAAAAGGAAATGCCATGGGTAGATGAATGTTTTCACAGATAGATGTCATTTGCAAAAAAAAAAAAAAAAAAGAGTGATTAAACTGAATCCAGTCTGTCTGTAGTGCTTTGGTGGTGAAATGAGAAGGGAAAAGACGTTCTGGAGGTCTGTGATGGAAAACATGGACGTTAACTCAGAACAGGAACTCCTCATGGTCTTTCCGAGATGCAGACACCTGGAATAGATGCCAGCTCTGCTGGAGCAAGGCTCTAGGAAATGTCAGTTAACTGTTTCTTCATTGCAGGATAGGACTGTTGTCCAGCATCTCCCTGCTTCGTGCACTTTGATTCTGAAACGTGGTGCTCAGCGGATTTTGAGGTTTGTTCTTTTGTTGTTGATTTTAGATTGACAAGTATGCTCAGCGGGATCTGAAGAAAGGGCTTCATTTGTATGGGACAGATGGAAATATTGGCCTAACCAATGCATGGAGCATCATTCAAACAGATGTAAGTCTGAGCTTTTTTTTTTTTTTTCTTCCTCTTTACCCTCTGGGTTCGGTAACAGCACATTCTAGGTGTGAACCTAATTAAACCTCCGGTCCCAAGCAGTCGGCACATTAGCAATGAAACTCTGCTTTTTGTAACAAATGGTAATTTTTATTTATTTCTCCTTTGACCAGGATAGCTTATTTCTTTTAAAAATATGTATTGTGTCGATGCCTAAATATAGTTCCATGCTGCATGGAGAGTGAAGGAGCTGGCCAGACAGGAACCAAGCAGCACCTTCTCTTTAGCCAAAGGGAGAGCTGATGTTGGAATGAAGAGCATCACAACAAAGCATCACTTCAACCCCTTCTCATTTCTGTCCTGTCTCCTTTCATTGCTATTGCTGCTTTGCACCAGTGCAGTCAAAATGCAAACTGGCCATGGTGTTAACCCCCTCCTGCGGTCGGTGTGTTTTTCCCGACAGAATTCAATCCTCCTCCATCACAGATGGGCTGGGAATGCTTTTTGCTGTGTTGCCACCGCTGTTGCATCCCTCTGATTCTCTGGCAGCGCTCTGGCAGTGTTTGTCTCCTCAGGACTGCTGTAGCTGGCTTCCTGCCTTTGTCCTTGTCTGGCTGAGGAAACACCACCTCTGACAGTTCAGGTTTATTAGCTCTGTCCTTCCCTTTGCATATTCACTTCAGTCAGTTCTCTTGGGGCTGATCTTTCTGATCTAATTTGCTCTGCTTCTTGAACGAGGAAAAGTGCTCCAACGTTTCTTCTGCTTTAGGAAGAAGCACCGGTACTGCCTTGGCTTCCCTCAGAAAATCTTGCGTGGCTCTCTCAACTCCTCCTCCAGAGGTGCCCGCGCGGTGCAGGCAGGCAGGGCTTTAGTCTGCCTCTGATGTCTTAAATCAGCCAAAGATTATGACCTCTCCCAGTGCCTCCAAGGTTATATGAACTGTTCGAGATGGTGGATGGGCCATCTCCCACATTCTGATACAACAAACCTGCTTCTGCACCCTGTGCTGCCCCTGCTGCCGCCTGGGCTGGAGTCCTGAACATCTTCATCTGGTGGGGTCAAGAGGCACGCAGACTCTTCGGTAGGGCACGAGGTAACGGGAGCAGCAGGCTGCTCAGAAAAGGGCTGAGGAATTCAAAATGGGGAGTGGAGTCACTAACGGAGCAAATGAACTGGTTGGCCAAACTTCACAGGAATCTCGGGGGCCGTGGAGCTGTCTGTATGGAGGGCAGTAGGCTGGCAGGAGCAGCACTGGGGGTGAAAAACAAACAGCTCAGGGCCAGCAAACGAGCTCTCCAGTCCTGCATCCAACAGCTGCACGTGGAAGGCTCTTTCTGTTACCTTTAAAAGGCCTCCGCATCTTGCAATGTTGTTAATATTTTTCTCTTCCAATATTACGATCAAATACGAGAAGGCAACGATTCCTGACAAGAGCAATGCGTTTTGTGGTGCTACCCAAGAGTAAGCCATGGGAAATGTAAATAAAATTGTTAATCAGTGCTTACATAAAACACTAGTAGAAGTTTTACTCTTTTACACTAACTTAACTCTGCTTAGTAAAAATACTAATGTTAGGATATTTGCAGTAAATATTAACCTGATTTCAGTGACACCCCAAGAAGTGTTAAAAGCATATAGCAAAGGTGGGGGGGAAGCATTACTTGGAGGCGTTATGGGACATAAACCCTGTGCTTCTGCTCCCCTTTCTGTAAAACAGCTGTAACAGCATATACCTTGTCTGCTCCACCTAGTCACCGTTTCTCAAGATGTTCACAGGTTGAATTGGATTCAGAAAAGATGTAGAAGAATAATGAGAATTTTGGAAATTTATGATGGGAAATTTAAAAAGCTTTCTGTAAGTAGGAAAAGATGAAGTAGTGATGTGAGTGCAGTCCTTAAAGAGAGCAGGAGGGGAAAAGGGTTCTGAAGGAAAAGAGCTCTGTGACTGATCCAAGAGCTGAACACCGGAGATACAGGTATGTGATGGCAGGATGGCACTGTACAGCTGGATGGTGGATTCTTTTCTTCTGAAGCCAGGACAGGGTTTTTTGGCTAAAAGAAGTGGTCTCGTTCAGGGACAAGTTGGGTTTGAGGCAGGACTCGGCAGTCTGTGGTCTGTGTAGTGCTGCAGATCGCGCTCCATTGTCTTAATGATGCCTTTGGCCTTGAAACCTATTGCAGCTGAAAGAACATCTTACATGTTTCAGATGAAACTAAGGTTAACTGGGTCTTAGGAGCCCAAAGATAGCAGGGAAGTGCCATCTCGCGAGCCATGTGCAGTCATGTTCCATCACTCTCTTTTCTAACAAGGCAACTCTGAAATTCCCACGCACTGTACTGCCAGCGCCGTGGTGGTAAAGCTGCCGTGCTCCCCATGCTGGGCACTGAGGAGAAGAGCAAAGAGCTCCCACAGATCCATTTTCACCGCTCTGCATAATTGCTTTTCACATCTATCTTTCAGAACTATTTAGGAACAAACTGCTGCAGTGGTGCAATGAAGGCAATCCCAGCATGGTTCATTATGGAAAACACTTTGCAGCTGAATAGCACTATGGAAATGCCAAGTATGATTTTTTGTGTTTAGTAATAATTGTTATCCCTTACATCCCTCATCAGGAGGGTGTAATGACTGCTGGGAGGATTAGGGCGATACAGGAGGCTGGCTGAAGGGAAAGTCCCAGCCCAGGCTTGCTGTTTGACTTCTGGCTCCTAAGAGACAGCTCTCAAAAAAAAACCCACTTTAGAGCTAACCACGTTGCCATATAGGACAGTATCGCAGCAGTGACCTGTCTAATGGGGCCAGGAGACATCAGTCACTGGTTGAGCCATGGGCCACATCTGTACACAGGTGGAAAACAGCAGCCTCAGAAAAAAAACACATGTGAAAACATGACAGTAACAGAAATCATGATGAGTCCTTCTCCCTTGTCCTCTCTGCATTCACACTCCTGTCTTTGCAAAAGCATTTTTCAGCGCCGGAGCAGAAGGATGGCACCAGGGTTAACGCAGCAGGCTCAGCCACGGGGATCTGAGCTCCCGCAGCTCCTCGTTTCTCCTGGTACCAGCTGAGGCACAGACCATCCCCACCCCGCGTTCGTGATGTAGGACTATGTATGGCCGCTCTTGCTAAGTTAAAGAAGGGGGAAAAAAAGCTTTTCTAGAAACAGAACCACATTTAGATGGCATTTGATTTCTGTGGGAGTGGGATCACAAATCCGAGGGGAGTTTTGACTGGGAATGAGGATATCCAGTGTGCACACAGGGCTTGGGAGTTGTGATTGATGTGTTTATTCTTCAAGTGTGAAAGGCCTGAGCACCTTTATCGGGGGGCTTTCTTCTCCAAAGCCTTTGTGCCTTAAGAAATGGTTTTCCTCTTTTTAACAGAAGCGTACAATTCCTCGGTAACTGGGAACAAGGGAACAGCGGGGTCCGTCAGGCCTGTCTTTAAGGAGGAAGCTGTAGTTTTGGTCCATGTCTGATCTGTTCAGATTACTGATAAAGGATGGGTTGTGCTCCATCCATGCGATGCGTGTTAGAGGAGAAGCACTAGACTCATTTTGCAATCATATTAAGCCTCGAGGTCAGGGAGCTGTATCAAATTAGAACGTTTGATTGATTTCTTTTTAATACCTTCAGCTAACCAAACCCACAGGCTTTCTCGATGGCATTTCAAACCTTAAAAGGATCAGAAACACAAGCAGGTGACTTTTGCATGTTGTGACTGAAGACTACAGAAGCATACAAAGGGATTTTAAACAGGACTGAGATTCTGATAGTTCAGGATGCAAGTTACCCCGAACCGCATTATGCTCCTTACCAGCCAGGTTACAGTTACAGGTGGAGATCATTAGGAAATGAGAGGTAGGCATTAATTTTTAATATGTTGCTTCATCCCCAACATCTTTGTGATCAATATTTGAACACTTCTCCTTTTAACTAAGCAGGCAGTAATTCGAGAGGCATGCAGAAAACACATTAGCCTCACTAAAGTGAGCAAATTCAGCTTGCTTTTACTGCTGTGCAATGCATTTCATGTCTGCTTAGACACTGTAACTGAGAACAAAATGTGACCCATCTCCTCCTACCCCAGCCATTGATCCTGTTAGATCAAACCGTATTTTAGGATTACTGCTGAAGTAATCCAAACCACCCATTAAGCATAATTTTAGAATAAATCTATCTTATTCACCACTTTTTACAGTGATGGAGCAAAAAAAGGCATATAAAAGGCACCCTGTCCTGTGCCTCGTTCTCTGTCACCTTCACAAAACTGGAAAACCAGTCATTGCTAAAACCTGTCCGTGACAAGGATTGAGTGTCTCTTTTCATAGAGTCACAGAATGGTTTGGGTCAGAAGGGACCTTCAAGATCATCCAGTCCCACCCCCTGCCAACACCAGGTCTTGGTGCAGTGGCCTCGTGATGCTCTTGCAAGGAAGGGAAGGGTTCTCTTTGCTACTTCTTGGGCAGGGAGATGAGGTGTGCTCATCCCTATACATCTCATGGTTGGAAGGGCCCTCAAAGACCATCCAGTGCCCCCCCCTGCCATGGGCAGGGACACCTCCCACTAGCCCAGGTTGCCCAAAGCCTCATCCAGCCTGGCCTTGAACCCCTCCAGGGATGGGGCATCCACAGCTTCTCTGGGCAACCTGGGCCACTGCCTCACCACCTGAACAGTGAAGAATTTCTTCTTAATATCTCATCTAAATTTACCCTCTTTCAGCCTAAGACCCTGTCACTCCCCCCCTGTTCCTCCCCATCCCTCCTGTAGCCCCCTTTACTGCAAGGCTCTCCCCAGAGCCTTCTCTTCTCCAGGCTCTGTTCGTATGGGGGCACTCCAGCCCTCTGACCATCTCCATGGCGTCCTTTGGACTTGCTCCAACAGGTCCATGTCCTTCTGATGTTGGTGGCTGCAGAGCTCTGTGCTCCCTGTGGCGTCAGTCAGTACTCCTCTGTGTTCACCAGCTCCTCTCCTGTAGGATTGTGCATCATCTGCTGCCTCATTCCATCACTCATCTGTTCTTTGTCTTCCCAAGACATGACATCTCTTCCAGTTCTAGTTCCAGACATTATTTCTTCCCGTCCCAAGACTATTGATCCTCACGCTACTCCATTCTTTTTCACCCTGCATCTTTTCCGCGCCCTTTCTCCCATGGCTGGGACTGCCTTGGCCGCCAGCAGTGGCAGGCGAGTATCAATATTTAATCCTCTCCTCGTGTCCAACACACAGAGGGTCTGTGCGGGCAGGCAGTGCGTGTCCAGCTGCAGCTGCTCTGTGCAACTGCAGCCCCTCCTTCTGGGTTCCCGGCAAGTTTTACTCTTTGGAGTCCCAGCCCTTGATCACAGCCTGGCCCCTTCTGCTCCATGGGAGTGGTCAGTGAGCCCTTAGCTGCAAATCCTGCACGTCGGGTTCATCTCCTGGCAGACTCTGACACCCTCAGCCGTGCGCTTTTATGCGACCAGAAGGGGTCTGGTCCCGATTTATGCAACCTCGTGTCACTTGTGTTTGGCCAGAACATCACTCAGATGTCTCACCCTTCCCGCTGCACTCTGCAGCGCAGACGAGCCACGCTCCCCAGGCTGGCTGTTTACACGCCGTCACTTCTCCCTGGCTGTCAAAGAGCTGGCTCCTGGCTCCAGTGACGACAGCCTGCAAGACCTTGTTAGCTCTCCAGATAAACCTGCTTTCCTCAAATGCCACGTGTTCCATGCCGCTTCTACCCGCTTTTGGGAGCTGTGTGCATGGGGCTCCTGCCTGGTGCGCAGGAAAACAGAAGGGAAAAAAAAAGTCAGAAAGTTCTTCTAATTTTAAGTCAGTTTGTAGAAAATGAAGCCTGTAAACTCCCAAGTCAAACAGTTGTAAGCTAAGGATTGATTCCTGCCGTGGACCAAATCAGAATTCTGAGCAGCACCTTGCAGGGATAGATATTAGTCCCGGAAAGATTTCTGACTTTTGCTTGGCAGAAGAAAAACAGTGCTGGGAGCACGGAAACGTCTCTATAGCCAACTGCTTTCTGCCAGGGCTTGAAGCAACGGCCGATGCCTGAGCCAACGCGTGGCACCTCTGCCCTCTGTTGGGCTCGGATCGCAGATCCTGGGTGTGCAACGGCACCTGAACGCTCAGCTCTCCGTGCCCGGAGGCTCGTACAGCTATTTTCTATAGATACAGGGAAAACACTCCCTCAGGGCAGCGCAAACATCAGGAGCTGAATTAGGTCCTTGGTCCTGATGACATCTGCATGGTTCTGAGTCTATCAGAAATAACAGGAATGATCTCTACAGGGGTGCAAAAAATACTGCACAGCCGTATTTAAAAAATAAGTTCTTGGCAAGTCATTTTGGGGCTAAGTAGGCGGCTGGCACAGCCGTGCAAAAGCACAAAGTACTGCCTGGAGCAGAGAGCCGTTCGGAGCCCAGTGTCGTCTTGTTTTACTCATTAGTGGGAAAGTGTCTAAATACTGACAAACCAGTACTTTAGAGTTAGCATGGGAGTGACAGATGGTGCATACATCGACACGGTAATGAGTCTGAGCTTATGTTGTATCGCAGGAATACAGCAGTTCCCGGGGGGAGATGGTCACAGAGCCATCCCTGTATGGTTATGTACGTGTCCTGTGCCTTCCATCCCGCTACCAACGGCCAACAAACCTTGGATTTAGCGCTGACACAGTCCCTGGACACTGTGCTGCCATATGCAGGCACTTGGAGCAGCGCTGCTCAGCACCGTGAGATGGGGACATTACAGAACTGCAGCAAGGAGAGAAGGGCAGGCAATCCATCTTTTGCTGGCTGACAGAGACTTTCAAAGGTGATCAGTAATTAACAGCTCAGAGACAAATTTGCCTCGTTAGCTCCAATCATGATTTCAGAAGTAGCGTGCCCTAGAGATCCCAGGATCTTCAGCTCCTGGGTGCTGTATCTGTAGCTGAAATAATTTTTTCCTGACAGCAAGCTGCGAGGGATTGCTCTGATCCTGCTCAGCCACGGCAGCTGTTACCCGGGGTCTGGGCTGGGGCTGGCCTGGGGCAGCGGCCGACTGCAAACGGCTGCCTTGGCTTCTGGGGTCAGCACCAGCTACACACCCAACCGTATTTAAACATCACGAAACAGTGCCGGAAAGGGGCTGTTCGGGTGAGGCTGAGGAAATACTGCATTTCTTTCGAATGCCAAGGCTCTGCTGGGGTGACCGACGCGCAGCGAATGGCCAGCTCCAGCGGCAGAGGGCAGGACCGGCAGCAGTCGGGGACAGCTCGTACATACGGTGTCGTCTCGGTTCTTCTTTTTCCAGTTCAGGTGCTGTGGAGTCTCCAACTACACGGACTGGTTTGAAGTGTACAACACAACCCGGGTGCCGGACTCCTGCTGCTTAGAATTCAGTGAGAACTGCGGGCTCCACTCCCCGGGGACCTGGTGGAAGGCGGTGAGTGGCTCGC